AATAGGGCAATGACTGAGGACTGCCAGGACAGCAGGGTAATTCCATCACTGACTTATTATGACCTTGTGGGAGAAGCCACATTGAATACAGGTACGTGCTTTGAATAAGATATATTACTGCATATACACAACTTGCAGAATACCTGTTCAATTTAGCTTGCTAAGCATGAGTAATCAGGCAGTAGTATTTTCAGTTTGAATAAACAAGAACACAGAAATCAGAAGATGGTAGTTCAAGCTCTCAGCTAGATATGCGACCTTGGGACAAATAAAAGCTTTAATGTCACTATCTGTAAAACAGTATCCTACCTGTATTAAATAAGTTCTGTGGGAACAAGATCAGATGCATGACAAAAATGAAGCACTATGAAAAAAGTTTTTTTTCTTTTACAACAAGTAACTATTTTTTAAATCTTTGGTCAGATTCCTAACATTTTTAATGGCTTTATGAAGACAATCTAAATACCATAAAATTTGTATTTTTCAAGGCCAATGATTTTTTAAAAATACCAATCAGGAAACTCTCATTTTCTTTTTCTAAAGTTTTAAAATTTTAGTTCCCTGCCCAGAACGGGGAGGTCAAACCAGAGATTCACTGTATGCTTGGCAAGCCCTCTATCATGTGAGCCATGGAATTTTAGTTTTTCAGTGACAAAATATTTACACATATCTATAGGGTACAGTATGAAAATCTGGCTCATGTAATGCAACACATAACCAAATTAAGGTAATCAATTAGCATTACCTACTCAAATATGAGTCATTCCTATTGTTATCCCTATCTTCCCCTGCTTTCTCTTACCTACCTAGGACATAATATGTCACAACTCAGCTCAAATCTGGACACCTTATAACATTTTGTCCTTACCCATAAGTATTTCTTACTGTATTATAACTTTTTATCAAGCCTCTCCCCCAAGCCCTATCAACTATGAATAAGACAGGGCCAATAACTAACATTTATTACCTCTGAACTGATTATTTCTTTAGCCCTTTGCAACCTATACTTTTCCAGAGCCCCTATTTTATGTTGAATAAATCAACTTGAGTTCCTCTTAAGAAACTAAGGAAGGGACTGTAACAAGAACAAAAATTTAAAGTTTTTCTGAAATCCTCCCAGTAACACACTTGTACTATACAGTTGCACCACTTACGTATTCATTTAGAAAATACATATTTTTTAAAGTTTTGTTTCTACAGCAAATATTCCAAAGACTAAAATTAAAAGAGGATGGTCAAAGGAAAATCTAGCGAGCTAGAGTCAGTCATTGGCACCACCAGAAATGAACTGCAAATCCAATTTTGGGTGCCACTAATGTCTTAAGTCTTCAAACACATTTAGAGGCCTAAAGATTTAGTAGCTAAAAAGTCAAATGTTAAGTGTCCAGGACATATTAGATGATGAAAAAATATAGTTTTCATGAGTACCCTGGGAAATAGGCATAGTTGTTAGCCCAAGTTTATGGAGGAAGAACTGAGGCTCCAGAGTCTACCTGGATTGCCTAAGATCTTTTACTCTCTCTCTCTCTCTCCTTTTCCTTACAATACTGGGATTTAAACTCAGGGCTTTACCTAGGATCACTTTTGGGAAGAGATACAGTTAAGGTGTTTGTTTTTTTTTTTAACTAAATTTTTTTTTAACCAGGCAACAAATGCTGTTGCAGCAGCTTAAGCAAAGATTGAGGACTTCAGAGGAAGACATCCTCGTAGAGGAACAGGACAACAATATCTTTCATGTCGACTGGGAACTTGGAAGATGATCATCTCCCTCCCTCCATTCCCTACACCCCGTAAATAATCTGGCTGAAGAATAAGATGTCCTTTGTAGAGTGGAGGGTAAAGGATGGAAAGGGGTACCAGGTATCAGATTCGAGACAGTAGGTAATATGACATGCTTGAAACACTACATTCCTTTTCAGACCAGTGGAGGGAAAGGAAGGATTACCCAGGAGAGAGGTGTTACTGTCTTCCAATCAAAGAGGTTCTTTGTTCTGGATAGTATAACAAATGTGGAAAAATACAAAGAGCTATTCAGCAAATCTTTTTCTCGCTTCCCACTTGCTAAACAATAGTAATTTTTAAAAATCTCCCTTTCCCCTAGATAACTTACCTTAGTTAACCGATATCTAATCATTCCATCAGTCAAGGATAGGAAGATTGTAAATTCATTCCAACTGCACGAAGTTGCTCCTTATTTGTCCATGTTAAAGGACTCATTTCATACCCTTAGAACAGCCACTTAAATGTTTAAAATTTCTACTTAAACCTCAATCAATTCCAAGTTCCTCAAGAAAAAGCTTATAAAAATCGTAGCTTGTTTATCAAAACTTCATATATTATTTGGCTGGCAATGCTTTAAAGGCACGCCTTCTAATGTTATTTCACCAACTGTAAATAGTTAAAATTGATAAAAATAAAGATCTCCTCTAAACGTATTTCTGACTTTCAAATACAATTCCAAGGCAATTTTGTGAGTGTCCAGACTCATCAACCTGAGGAGTTGCTGTTACTGGTGTGAATTCTAAAAGCTGATACCTCTCTTCCCATCTATTTAGCTTCCAGGCTTCACCCCAACAGTTCAGATACAGTAAAAGCCTCTAGGCAGGAGCTAACTTTCTTAACTTTTAGTTAAGACCTAGTTGAGATTATTTTCAGGTATTTCACAGGAGATTCTCAATCAACCTCTGACTTATTCCAAATGCCCTGGAAGATGCATTCATGGGGCCATCAGCCTCGGATACTACCTTGAGGTAAAAGCATTGCAAGAGACTAAGTTAAAGCTGCTTTATAAAGTGAAGCCTGCTGATTAGGTTCTAGCCAAATGGTTGAACTTTCTCAACCATTTACTTCCTCAAAGGCAAATAATTGCTATTTCTTGAGTTATCAGGCACAGTGATAAAGTCTCTCTATATCCTTATTACTTAATCCCAGGAATTCTCTGAGATATTTAACTTCACAAGAAAGTTGAGATTAAATGCCCAAAGCCACAGAACTGTTGAGTGATCTCACAGCTAGATCCCATGACCATCCCAATCTCATTTTTCTTCTGCTTTCCCTCCCAACCAGACATCTCTGGGTTCATCCTGATTTTTGATGTGTGCTTTTCTGCAAGTCCACCCAGCTGGGGATTCCTATCCCATGGGCCTAAGCCCTGAATGAACAATATCTATCCCCTTCTGAGCCCTACCTACCTGGAGGTTTTTAAAAGATGGATTTTCTAGTCCATGGAACTCCTTAGTTTGCCCTTCCCTTTGTCTGATTCACTACTCTGTCATTACTGCAGGCCAGTTAGTGGGCATGAGGCAAATTCGCAGAGGCTCACTCTTTCATCCTGGTTTAATTAGCACCCACATCTTTAGGCATTCCTAGGCCTCCACCCTCACACATTTCAAAGAGAAAACTGCAGGCACACACAAACAGTCCAACATCTCTCTAGGCTCCCATGCTAAGAAAAAGGTAATAGGGTGGTCAAGATAGTTCCAGGCTTCATCCTTCACCAGCTAATTGTGACAAGGGGATTTGTCTTTGTGGGCCTCAGATTCCTGAGACATTAAAAAACAAAACCAAAAACATAAGCAGTAACCTGCAAGGCTGGGTGTGGTAGCACACACCTGCATATCCATCTATTTGAGAGGTGGAGGCCAGATGATATCTGGCTAGAAGCCAACCATAGCAAAGTAGCAAGATCTATGTCAAAAACAAAATACAAACTGAAAGAGATAGGTCTGTAGCTCAAGTGGTGAAGAACAGGACTCTGGGTTCACTGCTCAGTACCCCAAAATAAAAATAACTTACACTATTTATCATGCTGGTACTAGGACTCAAATGCAGGGCTTGGATGCTATCTCTTAACTTTTTCACTTAAGGCTGCTGCTTTACCACTTGAACAACACCTCTACTTCTGTGTTAACTTGATATGAGTCTCATGGACTTTCCTTCCCAGGCTATCTTAGAACCTTGATCCTCAGATCTCAGCCTCCTGAGTGGTTAGGATTACAGATGATGGCCAGTAGCACCAGTGGCATCACTAGCACCACAGTCTCCTGCACTCGTTACAGTTCAAGCTGACTTACATAAGGCACTAGGGACAGTTGGTTGCTGTATAAATTTTGTGGCCTTACCTCACCTCCTCTTATACTTGCTTCCTCAGAAAAGGAAAGGGAACAAAAAGTGGCCAGACTTTTTAAATCAATTCATGTTCTACCTATTTACAAACTTAAATTCTACATATGCAAGTAGTTAACCGTGGCTAAGGGCCATATCTCTTTTGTTCTGCTTCCCTCGGATCCCTACATCCTAAATGGGGGAATTAGGTGATCACAGCTGACACCGTTGTTACTGGATTCTTTCTGGTCACCAGGTGCAGGTACTAGAAAGTTGCTGATCTCAGAGCAAGAATTCAAGGATGGCCACAGCGGACTGAAATAGGGGCAGGTTGAGTAATGCGAAGCATAGCTGCAGCAAAGCAAAACTGCACTCTCCAGACAGGAGTGTGGGCAGGCTCAAGGAGCCTAGCCTGGAGGGAGGGGGCTGTTCCCAAGACTCCAAGCTTTTATTGGGGGGGGGGTCCTGTGGACGTGGGGGGGGGCAATTCCTCTCAAATGTCAGTTAGGAGAGTTCTTGGCCTGGGATGGATGGTCAGACCCAGATTGTCATTTTCTGCTGCCCAAGTTAAGTGGGATCACAAGTTGTTTCTTCATGTCAGCAGGCCAGGACCTGATTTCAACAACGCACAAGCCATCATCAGGTCTCTTAATTCCCTGCACAACTCGTATCAAAATGAACAGATAAGTGCCCAGATGTCGCCGCCTTCCACGCCGTAGGGTAGAGCGAGGCGCCTATAGACCTTGCAGTGGGCCGAGCGCGGGGACGGCACCCCAAGACCAACCTCCCAGACCCGGGCCTCCCGCGCGCCTCAAGCCCCACGCCCAGGCGGCCCGCTGCGGGGAAGCTCCGCTCGGCCCCGCCACGGCCCGTCCGGGTCGCCGGCGTTCGCTCACCTGCGCCGGACAAAGCAGCAGCAGCAGGAGACCCAGGGCCGGGCCTCGCGCCTTCATGCTGCGGCCGCGCTGGCCTGCGGACCTCTGCGGGTTCGGTTCCCTCCTCCAATCGCCCGGGCGGTCGCTTCACTTCCCCGGGTTGTTTCGGGACCGGCGCCTGACTGGGGAGCAAGCAGACGCAGGCGGCGGCGGGGTGCGCGCGCAGCTCAGGAAAGACCGAGGGGGTGTCGGCTCCTCCCTTTCTGGGCGGGGCCTCGGCATCAAGCGAGTTACGGGGCAGCCTTGAGGGGTGGGGTCTAGATCGTGTAGGCGGGACCTGCGGGTCGGGGGGCGGAGCCAGACCCTAAAAGTGCCCAGGCACAGGAGGCGGGAGAGCCTTGGGTGATCTGGCGAGAAGTTCCTAGGATCGCCCCCTGAGGCGAGGGTCCCGCAGATTTGGGCGAGTAGACTGTTGGAATCCGGACTGGGAGGCTGTTTCTGGGATAGATGGAGCACTCTCTGGTCTTAATGCTTTCACTTGTTCAGGCACCCCGTTTTTCCTTCCAGGGTTCGAGTGGGTCAGGACAGCGTGGGAGCTTTTGCCCCATGAGGACCTCATTTCGCAGTGGAATGTTTGCTTATTGTGACTCCAGTAAGTACTCGAAGCAAGTTCTTCCACCCTCCAGCCAGGCTGGTGGCGGTGACGTGCGGTGGCCCGACGGTGGTGGTCCGAGTGGGGCGGGGCGGGGCGGGGCCAGGAGCGCTGCGGACACCCGGTTTGTTTACTGTCAACTCGGGCCTTGTTTGGGAAAAGCGGGAAAAGCGCGAAATCGCACCACCTGCTGGCCCACCCGCGCCTAGCACTGAGCCCGATGGGACAGCTTGACCACCAACTTGAACCCCAGGGAAGTTTGACCACAGCTAATAGTTTTAGGTTCTAGGCAAAAGAAGGTAGCAATAAATAAATAAAATAAAACTTGGTATCTTCGTTTTAGAGTCATGCATTATTATATATTTTGGGTTTGTACTTTTCTTGCATTCATTTCTGGTAACATTTTCCTTTATATTCCAGTTATTCCAACCACTAAAAAACACCAGCATTAAAAAAACAAATGAAGGTAATTATTTTTTCTTTCTTTGAGATCAGGGGCTTGAATTCGGGGCTGTCCTTGGCTTTTTTGCTCAAGGTTAATACTCTACCACTTAAGTCACAGCACCACATCTGGTTTTTTGGTGGTTAATTGGAGATTAAGAATCTCACAAACTTTGTCTCACAGACTTTGCTGCCCAGGCTGACTTTGAACCATATACCATGGTTCTCAGATCTCCACCTCCTGAGGATTAAAGGATCCCAACAGCAGAAATTCTTTGACAGTGAAAAGAGCAAATGTCCTTGTGAAGCAATAACTATCACAGCCCTAGGTAGGATTACAATGAGAGTAATGTTTTTTGACTCCCTATACTACCAGGCACAATTTCAATTATTGCCTTCTTACTTCTTTATTTCAGAGATGGCCAACTGACTACTTGCCCTGCAGTGAAACTATAAGTATTTCCTCTTCAGTCTTAGATTTTGGGTGAAGACCCTCTGGCCCTTATCTGTACTGCCCACTTCCCTGGCTCTGACTGGTGATGGTTCCCCTATAACACAGTAATGTGACTCAATGCAAAGAGTCTCAAAGTGTGGCCACAGCACCAGCAGTAGCATTCTCTGGAAGCTTAGCAGAAATTTGAATTCATTTTTTTTTTGTGCCAGTCCTGGGGCTTGAACTCAGGGTCTGGGCACTGTCCGTGAGCTTCTTTTGCTTAAGGCTAGTAGTACTCTACCACTTGAGCCACAGCACCACTTCTGGCTTTTTTTGCTTTTGTGGTACTGTGGAATCAAATCCAAGGCTTCATGCATGCTAGGCAAGCACTCTACCACTAAGCCACATTCCTAGCCCGAAATTTGAATTCTTAAGCCCCTTCTGAGCCCTTTTGAATCAAGATACTGTGAGGATGAGTCTACCTCTGTGTATGTTTTAACAAACCATTCTACCTGTAATCCCATCTATTGAGGAAGTTAAGATCTGAGGATCAAGGTTCAAAGCCAGCCCAGGTTATCTCCAATTAACCACCAAAAGCCAGAAGTGGAAGTGTGAGTCAAGTGGTAGAAGTCCAGTCTTTAGCAAAAAAGCTAAGGTACAGAGCAACCAGGCCCTGAGTTCAAGCCACAGTACAGATGCACAGATATAGACACAGACACAGACATACACACACACATGGACACACACACACATGCATATATGCATGCATGCACACACACAGAAAAGGAAAAAGTCTCCCAAACTATCCAAACAAGTTGTTCAGGTGATTCCATTGTACACTGAAGTTCAGAAACCTCTTATGCAATGATTTTGAAGATACTGGTTGAGTAAGAGCCTTCCAATTTTAGCTTTATGGGACATAAAGCTACCTTTGTTAAATAATTAACTTGAGTAAAGGGAATTTCAAGCACTATAAGACACATTTCTGGGACAGACAGAAATTTTTATGCTCTTGAATTTATGTCCCCCATTCATCAAAACCATAATTAAAAAGATCTGTTAGACATGTCTTTTTCTGGGTCCCAGTCTTTTGTACAGCTTCAACTATATCCAAAATCCTAGGAAATACTTAAAAAAAAGTAAACCACCCCATTTCTGACACTTTACCCCCTCACTAATTTGGAAGTCCCTAAAACAAACTGGTTAAGTAATCTGTTATTTATGGAAGAAACTTTGAAAATACACAAAAGTTTAGAGACCAAAACCACTCATAATCCCTTTGTGATGAATGATCTATATTACATTCTGGCATATATTAGTATGGTAGAAACTTTAAAAGTGTTTGTTGTTTTTTTATTTGTTTGTAGCTCAAGCTTGTAAAGCTACTGGTAAATGAGAGATTAGGGGATTGTGGTTTGAGTCCAGCTCAGGCAACAAAAAGTTGGTGTTTTAACCAATAGCTGCATTTAGTGGCAGGTGCTTGTCATCCCAATAATTCTGGGAAGCAAAAATAGGAGGACTGCAGTCTAGGCCGGTCTGGGCATAAAGTGAGATCCTATATTGAAAGTAACAACACAAAAGGCCTGTAGAGTGATGCGACTGGTAAAGTACCTACCTGCCTAGGAAATATGAGACTGTAAATCAAGCCCCAATAGTACCAAATTTTTGACAATATTCAGTACCACTCCTTTTCTGAGCACCATTCAATGTTGATCTCAGGAGAAAGTAAAAAAAAACATAAGGAGGAATGAAATTATTCTTATGGGCCTTCATAAATGTGTATTAAGCATCTTTTAGAAAATGATGTCGTTGAAAACATTGTAGATATAATATGTGGATGTTTAAACTAAGTAAGATATCCCGTTTCATCTTGCTTTTTCACATTTAGTAAAATGTTTTTGTGCCTCATTACTTTTAAGATATTCTTGAGTATACTGAACATTTCTGAAGGTAGATTCATGTAATCCAGATTGCCAAACCAACAAGTACCTCAGAACAACTCAGTTTTTCTACTTGTACTTCTGGTTACATGTGTACATGTGTCATCCCAATAACAACTCTTGAATTTTTCTTTCTGTATACTTCCTCATGCTCCTATGCTTGTCTGCACTTTCTGTGCTCTTCGCTTTTGTGATTCTGCATCAAAGTCTAAAAGCTATTGAGTATTTCCCTTGTGGAGAGAGAGGAAAATTGACCCAAGGCAAAATTCTGTTTAGCTGGCAAATGGATGGGGAAAGCTCAAAATATACATGTTAATAGTTTTTGATCCATTACATAATTTATTTAATCAATCTCTTTGTGGACATTTAGTTTGACACTGTTATTGGAAACAATTATGTACTGAACAGCTTTGTGCTTAAATCTTTGCAACAATCTATTTTAAAGAAAGTTGTTGTTTTTTTTTCTTTTTCCAGTACTGTGTTTTGAACCGGGGCCTTGTTCATGTTAGGCAAGAGTTACATCCTTATCTGTTTTTATTTTGAGACAGGGTTTGGCAGAGTTGCCAAGTTTGGCCTCAAATTTATAATCTTTCTGCATCAGCCTCCCAAGTAGATGGGATTACAGGCATGTGCCACCAGGTCCTACACAAAATTTTATATTGTTGGACCAGAAGAAATCTACATATCAAATTTGATTATTGCCAAATTGACTTTCAAAGAAAGTGTAGCTTATACTCTTGTCAACAATATTTGGGAATATCTGAGTCCTTGCCCCCATCCTCAATACCAACAGTTTGCCATTCAGAGAAATAGAATCTGTTGAAAAATAGAATCTGTAATTTCTTTTATTTCTTATTTTTAAAAATATTGTGTTGGACATGGTGGTACATGCCTGTAATGCCAGCACAATTGAGATCTTTAATTTGTATTTCCTTAATATAAATATAAGTGAGAATATAAGTGAGAATAAAATATTTTCATATTTTTAAAAGTGACTTTGGCTGGGCACTGGTGGCTCACACCTGATCCTAGCTACTCAAGAGGCTAAGATTGGAGGATCATAGGTTGAAGCCAGCCAAGCAGGCAAGTCCAGGAGACTCTGTCTCCAATTAACCACCAAAAAAAGTCATAAATGGAGCTGTAGAACATGAGCCTTGAGGACAAAAGCTCAGAAAGAGCACCTTGGCCCTGAGTTCAAGTTCCAGGACTGGCACACAACACAAAAAAACAAACACAAACTCAAAAACCCAAACCCTTACTTAAGCAAGCTGAATTTTATAGACATCTTTATTGAAAACAGCTTGCAGCTATAACTCATGACTTTTAGTGGGAATGATTATGACTGACTCAGACTTAGGGCACTGCTCATCAGCTTTATGGAGAAGTGTTAGTCATCCTAGAAAAGCACTTGAATTGGTTAATTGAGTCACACATAAATTGTGTAACTTCCACTCCAGTGAGTGGAGAAAAATTTTGTAGTTTAGCACTGAGGGTTTTAAATGGATTCTGTCAGGCAACACATTTTCCTTTACCGGGGGGTGGTTTTTGGTCAAATCTTTTCTAAAATAGGGGATCTGATTCCTTTAAAGTAAAAGCTTTGTAAGACCTTTTTTTCTTTTTCTTTTGCCAGTGCTGGGACTTGAACTCAGGGCCTGGGCACTATCCTGAGTATCTTCTGCTCAAGGCTAGCACTGTACAATTTGAGCCACAGCACCACTTCTGGCTTTTTCTGTTTATGTGGTACTAAGGAATGGAACCCATGGCTTCATGCATACTAGGTAAGCACTCAACTACTAAGCCACTTTCCCAGTCCCCCTAAGACCATTGTTAAAACTTCAACTGCATCAAGTAGTAACAATAACCACATTTTCCTTCATTGAAGACTAGAGAGTTATTTCCTAGTAGGGAGAGAAGACAGCAGAAGTCATTCTTTCTGTTGACAGAGATGAAGCTAACAAGACACCAAAGAATAAAAGACCTGGGTTGGGAAGGTGGCTGAGAGGTAGAGTGCTTACCTCGCATGCATGAGGCCCTGGGTTCAAGTCCTCAGCACCACATAAGCAGAAAAAGCTGAAAGTAGCACTGTGGCTCAAGTGATAGAGCACTGACCTTGAGCTGAAGAGCTGAGAGACAGGGCCCAGGCCCAGAGTTCAGGCCCCATGAACGACAAAAAAAAAAAAAAGAATGAAAGGCCTTAGTTAGCTTCCTTTATTTATGAAAACATGTCATCATACGTTTATATTTTAAAATTGTCTTATAAATTATTGACAAAAATAAGTGTAAGATAGGCTGGGAAGAGTGCAAGGAAAAAAATTCTAAGACTTTTCAGACTAATTACATAGTTTTTAGACTAAGGGCTAAGGACAGTTGGGAAGCCTGTGGAAACTTTCTCTGTTACTAATTTACCTCATTGTGTTCAGTAGAGTAAGCAGAGGGAAAAGGCAGCCTGGCAGGAGAGTCCAGGGGGATATTATATTTTTTTAATTTTTCCTATAGAGTATATGTCTTGGTATGTTTTGTGTTGCTATAACAGCATACCTGAGACTGAGGGCTTATAAAGAAAAGAGGTTTCTTTAATTCACAGTTTGGAGGCCCAGAAAAGGTGATCTTTCTTCTGGATACATTAAAACATGGCAGATGGTATCACACAGTGGGGCACAAGCAAGTGCAGAGTAGTGCTTGTAGAAGAGATCATAAGAAAGGAAGAGAGCTCAGCTCCCATGGCTCACACCTGTAGTCCTAGTTCAGGGATGGCTTAGATCCTGAGTTCAGGCCTCCAGACTGGCACAAATGAAAAAAGGGAAGTGACTGGGGAGGGGCTCTTTATTAACAACCCTAATGTCCCCCTCTGAGACTCACCTGACTGAAGATCAGATCTGTCACAGTCCTTTTGATGACCATCATCTGGCCTGCCCCAGTCACCTCCCACCAGGCCCCATTGAATTACAAGGTCATCTATGTCATCAAACACATGTGTGTAATGAAAATCTTCTGCAATTCAATTACACAGATGATTTGCATAGGAACTGCCAGTTTTAGCTCTGAGGATACTGAGCTAACAAAATTGCAAATTAGGTTAACATTAAAGAATCATGGGGGCAGAACGATTTAAGGGGTGACATTGATCAAACTGCATTGTACTCATAAATTGACATATTGAATTAAAATAATTTTGTACAACTACCTATATAATACTAACATGAATCATTTACATGTGTGCAATCTAAAATGAAATTCCCAATATTGTTGTGTTAGGCACTGGTAGCTCATGCCTGTCATCCTTGCTACTTAAAGGAGGCTGAGATAGGAAGATCATGGTTCAAAGCCAGCACAGGGAAGGAAAGTCCATGAGACTGCTTTTTAAATTTTATATACTTATTTTAATCTGTAATTTTTGAACTTTTTAAAAAAAATTTTTGAAATTTAATTTTATTGTCAAGGTGATATACAGAGGGGTTACAGTTACATATGGAAGGTAGTGAGTACCTTTCTTGTTGAACTTGTTACCCCCTCCCTCATTTTTCTCCCACTTTCCCCTCCCTCTCATTCCCCCTCCATGAGACTCTTATCTCCAATTATACATACACCAAAAAAGCTGGAAATGGAGCTATGGCTCAATTGGTAGAGCCCAGGCAATAAGTTCAAGCCCCAGGACCAGCACACACACACACACACACACACACACACACACACACACACACACACACACATACTGTTGTGTTGAAGAATTTTCTCGGTACGAGATTTGGAGGGGACAAACCATGTTTGAAACACAGCAGCATATAACTTGTGTCCTTTTTTCCCACCTCCATATTTTGAAGGACAAGGACATGAACTGATGTGGGACAGAGACATGAAAAATCCTCCTATAGCACAATGGATTGTGCTGGAAGGTGAATGAGACAATCCTAGCCAAGTGCTTAGCACCTACCTATCCCTTCACAAATATTAGTTTTTGCTTTTTTTAAAACTGTTGCTACAGTAATAATCTGTGATTATTAAGAAAATAATCTGCAACACATTCCCAGTAAACCTGAACCTGCTAACTCGGTCACCCAAACCATCTTGTTTTAAAGGTAGGAGGAACTGTTTTTCATCCCTCTATCCAGTAGGCCCCCATCTCCAATAGCAGCCATCTCAGTGTAACTGCAGGAAGCTTGATATCTGGAGGTGCTGATTTCCTGTAGGTATCCCTCCCAGGGTGGTTAACAATGAGCAGTAGCTTCCTGTGGTTGCAGAGGGTGGATAGGAAGAGAGAAAGCCAAAACAGCCATGAGGGGCTTTTCCAGGTTCCCAGTGTTGCTTCTGACACCTGAAGTTCTGCAAAGTCATCAGCGATTTCATAAGAGACCACCACCACCAGGACTTGTGGGTGGGGAGTGGGCATCATAGACACAGAAATGGACATTAGGAGCTTTCCATTTCAATGTCTTTGTGAGTAGCCCAGGGTTTTTGTTTCTTTCCTGAATGAAAATTAAATGTTCTCTATAGTAGAAATAACAAAAATCTTAAGTCCCTTCAGGATCCCAAATGTCAATTTATTTTACTAACAGAGTTGTAGTAATTGCTCTAAAAATTGTATTCCATTAGAAGTAACTGTTAACTGAAAGACTGGAAAAAAGCAGCAAAGGCAAATTAGGTAGTATATTAGCTTTATTTGCAACTACAAAATGGAATGTGTTATCAAATAAACATATCCTGATAATCTTTTGTAGTTCAGTTATGCAGATGATTTGCATAGGAATTGGCAGCTTTAAATCTTAGGATACAGAGTTCACTGAATTGTGAATTAGATGAACATAAAGTATCACTTATATGTGTACAAACTAAAATACAATTTTTAAATAATAGACCTCTTTTTTCTGTCTTTGGTAGGCATTTAATCCTCTTCCCAGACAAACATCATATTATAATCTCATCTAGGTTAGGTGTGATCCTTCTAAACCAGATATCTTACCTACAGCAAGAAAGCCTCCATTAAATATTGTTAAAGCTACTAGGTTCATTTTTACCACCCTGATATTATTCAAGAACATTAGCCACCTAAAACAATATAAGGAATAGACCAAGGACAACATATTTTAGTAAAAAGCATTAAGTTTGTTATTCTATCTTTTGGAACTTTGTTGTTAGTAACCCTACTAGTGTTTTGTTTTGAATCAGTGCTCAACAACTATTTTTGCTATGATGGTTAACTAAAGGGAAAAATATAAAGCATTTAAGGCCACATTATTTTCTTCTTCAAAATGGATATAGGTTTTTAAAATTCCCATATGGGAAAAATGTGTATATGAATAACTGCAGAATAAAAGTCTGTCAGTGAGGAAATTGGCACTGCTTTTAAGCTAGCAAAATGTTTATGTTTGATGTTTTGTCAACTGAGAGCTTTCTAATCTCTTATCTTGAAATTAAAGTAAGAGCCCTGCAGGGTGGGGCAGGCTTGTACTAGCAGTACAGAGGCTGAATTCACTAGTGTTGAATTGGTGATCAACACTTTCAAAAAAAAAAAAAGAAAGAAAGAAAAGAAATGAGACTGTAGATTTTTGCAGAGCTACTGAGGCCATAGCTATCTTGGAGAGCTGTAGATGGCTCATTAGTGGCTTTGCTTATGATAATGTTTCAAATAAAGCTTTTAATGAATTAATCCTAAACAATTTTGAGAGTATCTTTTAATTAAAAATTATATTCCGTACTTTACTGACTTACAGACAATGCATTTAGTACTTCTTCATTTTGGTTAAACAAAACTTAGTTGGTGATTCAGTTTCCTCCATCATAACATGAGTTCACATAGAACATTGTCTGGAAACTATAGTAGAACATCATAAAGCAAGAAAAATAAGAGAAATAATACTAGTTTTGATTAACTTTTATTGTGTGTGTAGTTAGGCACTGACAGAGACAGTTAGACACCATTGATTATCAAGTGCACTGGTTATAAATTTTAGTGACTTCCTTCAAAGAAATAATTCCAATAGAAGACTCCTTGAATCAACCCAAGAACATGCAGAGATGAACGCTTATTAAATACTAGCAATCATCTTTTATTACTTACACTCCAGCAATACATTAGATTTGCATATAATATGATTTCAAAGCCATTCTATCAAGCAATGCAGTGTTGGAAGCTTAAGATTTCAGAGCATATTAGGTCTACTTACTAGAACCAAAACTGGTACCAAAATAAAAGTTCAAAGAGACAGGGCTTCTATTTCCTGTGATTTGTAATTTCCAGTTTCTAAATTTTCACTGGTTTTCTAACATACCGACAAAGTTAAGTAAAATGATTTTATACTTCAGGAGTAAGCTTCAGGTTAACAAGCATACAAGTTGTCTTTTCTATAATTCAACCGTCCATCTTTGTAAAGCACCTGATGGGATGTTGGAAGTGGCCCTTGACTAAAGTATGCCTGCACATCATTGATTTGCATTAATTATGGCTATGATCTTTAGGGGGAAGAAGAAATGACATACATAGATTTTGTAAAACATGATGAACCTATACATTTTAGCACATCTACATGGAACACAAAATAAAAGTGCAGCAATTCATTGAGTCAACCGCTCATTCTCTCAAAGGGACAAAACTTTCTGTGTCTTTGCTTAATTCTAAAAACCCTGTCCAACTTCAAGTTTTAACTGAGGGAGCCAAGTTAGTATAGTTGCAAATGTAGAATCAGTGACAATGCCTGGCCTGGACTTGGGTTACAGGATCGTGTGAGAAGCCCACTGAGAGTGAGGGAAGGGGACCCCTGAGCTCTCCTGTTCCTGAATCTGTGCTCAAAGCACAGCTATCAGCTAGGGACCCGCAGGGCAGACATTCTGAGTATATTATTTCTTCAAAGAATTTCTAGCACTGTTTGAAAGCCATTTGTTTTGGGACAATATGGTTAAGGTTTCTAGCTTTCTGTGTAAAATGGAACTAAGTTAGCTCTTCCTGTGTCCTTCTTTACTACGGAGGAGATGCAGTATGTGTTCATTTTTGGTTAGTTCTGCTGGAAGTTCATTGGCCTGAAAGAAGATGAGATGGACATCAGTAACTCCTCATAGCTGTTGTGGCTTTAGATACCCACATTTTCTACCCTGCTAGACTCATACTTTTGTATTAAGGCAATACAGATCTTTATGTATACACATTATACATTTAAACAAATATATAAATGTTATCTTCTTGTCTCCATGACATTTGTGTGTGTGTGTGCGCGCGTGCATCCACGTGCACCTACTGGTGGGCATATGTGGCTACTCTCTGAGTCTTGAACTCAGGGCCTGGGTATTGTCCCTTAGCTTTTTTTGCTCAAGGCTGGTGCTCTACCACTTGAGCTACAGCTCCCATTTCTGGCTTCTTGGAAGTTAATTGGAGATAAGAATCTTATGGATTTTCCTGCCTCAGCTGGCTTTGAACCACAATTCTCAGACTTCAGCCTCCTGAGTAGCTAGAATTACAGGCAGGAGCCTGCAATTGCAGTTTTTTCCCCAAGTTTAACTCAGTCCTGGATAGCTTACTAGCAAAAACTGATCACTTTAGGCAGTCCTGTACAGAAGTATATAGGACTAAATTAAAAAAGAAAGGCAATTGTGACTTCTGCTAGCTTATCACAAGCCAGGCCAGCTAATAGAAAACAAATCCAACTATCTGGGACAGAGATAAGTAGAGGCTGTAACAGACATGTTATCTACAAGCAATTCAATGGCAGGAACAGGGAAATAATACTTCTATATGCTAAGTAAAATGGTAAAAGTGACCCTTGGCCTTGGCTGTTCCATTGCTCTTCCTAATGGGTTTCTTTTCCAAATGCCCTGAATATATGTATATATGTATATGTATGTACACATATAAATATATATACATCTAGACATGCATGTTAAGTACTTAGAAACTGCTTTGCTAAAAAGCACTGAATCCTCACCTGGGAAAAAGCCTCACATCCTTGCTCTCATTTTGCATCTGTCTCCATTTTAAACCCTTGGTTCCCATCCCTGCACATAGTAGGCATGTTACTCAAGTAGTGTCTGTCTAAAAAAAACAATCAAACCCCCTGATAACAAGTCTATCTTATTCCCTTTCCTGACTTAAAGGACCAAGATAAGATAACCTAATGGCCCTACTATCTTATATAATGTCTTATTCTGGATATCCCCAGAGCACCTGAAAGTTTTAGTGATTAATCATTGCCCTAAGCTTGTAGTCACCTTGGATTTGGGTAATGACCAGGCTGCCCAATAAACATCTTTATGATAGATGGAAGGTTTACTGAAGCAACCCCAAAAAACACTTCTCCAGGACCAGAACTGAGATAACGGTAAAACTATACCTTTGACCAGGTAAGCACATTTCTTTTCGGGTGCCCCAGTTGCTCCTCTATTTAAACCCAAATCTCATGTTGTACCTATCTCATATTTAAAGGGAAACTAACTTTCCTTCCTCCCATCACTCTGCTCTTTTTTTTATTGTTTCCATTTGCTTTCTTTGGGACCAGTGTTGAATCTGATATGTTGGAAGTTTCAGAGTCAGGGCTCTGGCCTAAGACTCCAAGTATGTGCATATATTTATGGAGGAACTAGAGCTCCATTTCCAATTAAGATTCAGGGTCTGGGGAAGGGGAGGCAGGCACCATAACTGGCTGAGAAGGTATCACAGAAAGCCCTCAAAAAGCTCAAGAAGCAGATCAAGGAGAAAATAAAGAAGAGAAGGAAGATGAAACTTTCAAGTAGAAAAGAGAAAGAAACCCCAAAAGGTAAAAGTGAATGCATTAGGAAAGGCCCCCTGGCCACGGGCAGAATTAAGACATTTGGCAAAAGGTAAGCTGTTCCCTGCGCCTAAAAGATGGCGACTCCTGATTCCACTCCTATTGAACATCTAGATTCCTTGCCATAGTAGTTCTTGCCACCTACAGAATAAAGTGTTGTCCTGAGGGTGGTTGTACATTGAAGAATAACATTTTTTCTTTTGGTAGTGGTACGAGGGTTAACTTTAGGACCTTGTACTTTCTAGGCAGGCACTTATGCTACTTGAGCCACACCCTCAGCCATTATTTTGGATTTTGGTTATTTCTGAGATGGGAAGGGGTCTTATTCTATGTCCTGGCTTGCCTGGACTCTGATCCACCTATTTGTTTCCCTACTTAGCTGTATGATAGGTACACTGCTACAGCCATCCATTGGTTGAACTATATCTGTGTCTCCTAAGAATCATAGGTTTGAGCCACTGATCCTGGCTATGAAGAATCTTTTTTTTTTTTTTTTGTGCCAGTTCTGGGGCTTTAACTCAGGGCCTGGACACTGTCCCTGAGCATCTCCTGTTCAAGACTAGTGATCTACCCCTTGAGTCATAGCATTACTTCAGGCTTTTTCTGTTTATGTGGTACTAAGGAATGGAACCCAGGGCTTCATGCATGCTAGGCAAGCACTCTATCACTAAGTTATCTTCCCAGCCTATAAGTATCTTTTGTAAAAAAGATAACAACAAAAAAATTTTTAGCTCTGGGTACCTGAACCCAGGGGCTTCACTCATGTTAGACAAATATTCTACCACTGATCTACATACCTGGCTCCTTGTTTTTATCTTCAAAACAAATTTTTGGACACAGGGCCTCATTATGAAGCCCACAATGGCCTTAAACTCACAATCTTCCTGCCCCAGATACCCAGGTGCTGGGATTACAAGTGTGAACCACCATGCATGTCTGTTTTACTATAAAAAAGTTCCAACACAGCAATAGAAAAATTCAGTGAGTATTGAAGTATGGAGTAAAGTGAAGATATCTTTTAATGTCTTCTATTAATAAACATCAATCTCATGTCTTCCTTCAGAAAACCAGAAGTGGCACTGTGGCTCAAATGGTAGAGCATCTGCCTTGAGCTGAAGAGCTGAGGGACAGTGCCCAGATGCAGAGTTCAAGCCCCACAACTGACCAAAAAAAAAAAGTTTTGTAGTTTAGATTTTTTTTCATAAGCCATTCTTCCTGCATCTGGGCATGTGACAGCGGTGTAAGTAGATGTTGAATACAAAGAAGTAAAATGACAGTCGTGTGTGTGTGTGTGTGTGTGTGTGTGTGTGTGTGTGTGTGTGTGTGTGTGTTGGTTCTGGAGCTTGAACTCAGGGTCTGGGCACTGTTCCTGAGTTGTGTCTGATCCCCCCCTCCCGCCCCATCCCCGCCAAGGCCAGTACTCTAACACTCGAGCCACAGCTCCACTTCCAGCTTTTTGGTGATTCATTGGAGATAAGAGTCTCAGGGACTTTCCTGCCCAGGCTGAGATCTTCAGCTCTTAGCCTCTTGAGTAACTAGGATTATATGTGTTAGCCTCCAGCACAAGGCAATTTTTTTTTCTATTGCTATTATCAACTCTGACTTCCAAGTTTGGCCTCACTGTAAACTAAAGATTGAGAATGATTAAAATAGAGGTTGGTTTAGTATCAGTGGCATGCACACCTGTCAATATAAAAGCCCCTTACCCCTCACCTCCATGGAGTCACCAAGCATAGCACAAGTGATGCTCAAGATGGGAAAGTCCTACTCTGAGAGATGGTGATGAACTGCCAGGACATTTTTAGGGCACATCTCTGATGATAGAACAATCCTTACTTCCTGTAATGACTGCCTTTTTGGCCTCCGTTGCTCTTGCTGGGAGCCTGAACCATTATCAGTGGAAAACCATTGCTAATGTAAGGCTTGCAGTACAATTCCCTGGGTTAATGCCCTATCTATAGCAAACTCAAGACAGTCATAGGAGCCAGAGTGATGCTTATCTTAGCTTAAGATGATGTCATCTCTTTGCATGAAAACCCAGGGGAGTTAAAAGATGGGGTAAGTGGGTACCTTGTTTCTCAGGGCTGGGTCTGCCCCTGCTTCCAGAAGCAGTGCCACTGTTTTAATATTCCCGCTGAGCACTGCTGCATGGAGTGCTGACGTCCCATTCTAAAAGAAAATGACAGAGTATGTCAGGAGAAGCTCAGCCACTGGCACTTAGCTTGGCTTTCATCATGAATCATCGGAGTGATAAGACGATTACCTCAAGTGTTAGTCTTTCCTATATTCTCTTGAAAATCACAGTAGCACCTAGTATAATGCCTTCAGATCTCCAGCCATGGTCAGTGCAAGGATTACCAATGTCTTCTTGCAAAGGAAACAAGGAATCTGGCCCAGGCTACACATGACTTCACGGTCACTGTAAGAATCTTATTTTTGTAGTTTGTATTTATTTATTTACTGTTGATAGTACTGGGTTTTGAACTCAAAACCTACTCCTGCTTGCTAGGCAGGTACTCTATTACTTAAGCCATGTTGCTAGACCTTTTTATTCTTGTTAGTTTTGAGATAGGGTTTTGCTTTTTGCCTGGGCTTGCTTCCTGCCATACCTGGAATGACAGACAGACAGACAGACCTATGCCTGGACTTTTCTGTTGAGATGAGGGTCTCAACAACTCTTTTGCCAAGACCAACCTGAAACTTGGATATAGTTGGCATGAACAGTGTGAGCCATTAGTGCCTAGCCCTCTGAGAGTTTTCTATACTTTACAATTCGCTACAGGAAAACAAACAAAATCCCCCAGCAATACTATGCTGAACTTTTTTCTTTGTACTTTTGCTGATCCACTTCCTGCTGGGCTATAGATATCTGAAGAGACTACTTGGAGCCCAGCTAGAGCCATTGAGTACAGAGTCTTTGAATCTGTGTCCTAAGACAATTTTTCTGAGCCCTCAGTTGAAGTATTTGTGAGCACTGAAGGGCCTCGAAGATGAATTCCTGATGCTATGTAAAATTTAGTGGAAACACTTATTAAAATAAGGAAGCAATAAAGGTAGCTCAGAGATAAGAATTTGGGAGGGGAAAAGAAGACAATAGAATCAAATTGGTATAAGGATGATGAACAATAGGATGTTGGGTGTATGTGTGTGTGTGTATGTGTGTGTATTCTTTATGTATGTCTAAAAATAGTGTCCAAATGCAAGCTAATGACTCAAACCCATTGTGACTTTGTAAAAGCAGAATATCATTCTTACAGAAAATTCTTATGGTTGTTTTCATATTACATATGATAATTCACTAATCTGATAACATTCTCTCTGCCTCTTCATATATATGTATATATTTATATATGTATATATTTGTAATTTTTTTGAGATAGGGGTCTTTCTATGCAGCCAAGGCTGGCCTTGACTCTGCACACAGCCATGTTTAGTTACTCAAGAAATGTCTGTCTCAGTCTCCTGAGTGCTGGGATTACAGATGTACTACTATTCTCAATTTACATGATTAATTATGAACTAATATATCAACTCCACCTATTTGCAACATGGCTAATAAAAAAAAGCCAAAGAAGCTAGGTGCTGGGTGGTTCACACCTGTAATCCTAGCTACTCAGAAGATTAGATCTGAAGATTTTAGGTCTGAGATTGTGGCTCAAAGCCAACCCAGGGAAGAAAAGTCTGAGAGACTATCTCCAATTGCCAAGCAGAAAAGCTGGACTGCAGTTGTGACTCAAATGGTAGAGTGCCAGTCATGAGCAAGAAAGCTGAGCAATAGTTCAAGACTTGAGTTTAAGCCCTGGTGTTGGCACAAAACCAAACAGAAAGTCAAAAAAGAATGGTTGGAAACAATCCTAGATATTGAGAAGTTCATTTCTAAAGCATCTTTTTATGTGCATAATTTCACTTTCACAGATGTATTTTGTTTACAAACAGTTTGAACAAGTGCAACCTTTTTTGGCTTCCAAGTTCAAGGAAGATTAGAAGTAGCTTATTAAGAGAATGGAGAGAGACCGCCACAGTGAACCCAGTGATTCTGGTAATGGATGAAAGCAAGAATGGAGTATAAAATACAAAGGGCAGATAAAATATGTATAGTATGAACACACAATACAGAACTATTGTTTGAAAGTTTTTAACTTGTTATTATAAAGCTGATATACAGAGGGGCTATAATTGATTATATAGATCTTGATAGATCGTGAGGGCACAGTCTCCAAACTGCTAAACACTGTGCCAACGTAGAATAGATTTGGTGTCCTGTGTTTAAGAAAACAGTAGGGTAGGGTCTGGGTAAAGTAGTAGAGAGCCTGTCTAGCAAGTATGGTGCCCTGAAATCAAACTCTAGTACTGCCATAAAACAAAAACAAAACAAAACAAAAAAAACAACTATATAGTTGGGTCAACAAAGTATGGCCTATGGGCCAAGTCTAGCCCAGTTTCTGTTTTTGTCTATTCTATAAGCTAAGAATTGCTTTTTCACATTTAAATGATTCTTAAAAACCTGAAAAGAACATTTGTAGCTGTGAAAACAGGAAATTTCATAAATACAATATAGTTAAATAAATGAAACTATGGGAATGAAGCCATACTTTCCTTGCTTTTTGTTTATTACTGTCATAGCAGACTTGAGGAATGGTGATAGATACCTTGTGGTCCACTGTTATGGTTTGGATATGAAATGCTCCCACAGGCTCTTGTATTGAACCCTTGGTCCCCACCAGGTGATACTATTTTGGGAGGTGGTGGAAACGTTAGGAGGTGGGGCCTAGCTGGAAGAAGAGGTCTGATGGCAGCATGCCACAGGACTAGGTCCCTTCTTCCTCTGCTTTCTGGCTGCCATGATGTAAAGTGGTCTGCTCTGTCATGTTCTCCATGAGAAAATTGTAAGCCAAAATAAATCTGTCCTCTCTTAGATTGTTTATGTTGAAAAGCTGGACTAACACACTCACAATGCCTATGTACTGTCCGGTCCTTTATATATAAAAAATGTTTGCTGACCCCTAGTGTTCATTAGAGATTTTTAATCCAAAATAATTTAAACTTACCGAAGAGATGTTGGGCTGTTTTCTGGAAGACCCAGGATGCCAGAAAGACATATTTTCTGGGGTTTTCAGGTGTGCTAGGCTAATTTTATTTCATTTAAGGAAACTAAGCACAGTAGTTCTTTGCTCAGCGTAATGAAAGAAGGTCCTCAGTATTTTTCTTAATTGCACAGATCTTCCAAACGATATCAATTTGGCTTATTTTCCTGTTTATTTATGCTTTTTTTTTTTGTCAGTTGTAGGGCTTGAACTTAGGGCCTGGGTCCTGTCCTTAGCTCTTCTGCTCAAAACTAGCATTCTACCACTTTGATCCACAGCTCCACGTCTGGTTTTCCAGTGGTTAACTGGAGATAAGAGTCTCACAGACTTAACTGCATCCTGAATAGCTAGGATTACAGGTGTGTTACAGTTCCTGAGTAGCTAGGATTACAACTACCAGCACCTGGCTACTTTCCAATTTTAGAAATTTCATTGACTGTATATCTTTTTATTTCCCCTGAAAAATTAAATACTGATAGACTGTGTTTTCTCTTTTTGTTTTTGAAACAGGGTTGCATTATGAAGCTCACAATGACCTCAAACTTGTGATCCTCCTGCCTCAACCTGAGATTACAGGCATGAGCAATTACACTTGGCTTGCTTTTTGTTTTGCCATGTTCACATTTCTACTAGTGTCTATAAAAGTATCCAGCCACAAGGAATTAAGGAGGTGGTTTCTTAAGAAAACACTAACCAGGCTGATTATTCTCTTATTCTACTGTAATATACATATATATTTGTTTTCTAAGCTCTCCCTTTTTTTTAATTTAATTTTATTTGCGAACATACTGTACAGAGGAGTTACAATTACATGGGCAGGATAATGCATACATTTCTTACCAAGCATTGCAGCCTCCTCCTTTGTTTACCCTTCACATCCCTTCCCAGCCCTAAGCTCTCCCTTTTATAGACTGGGACAATTTCTCCTGGTATCTTACCTTCAAAATACCAAGAGTGGGTGAAAATTTAAGCAACTCCTGGATCACATCACTATACCCTTTGTTGGCTGCTTTCAACAATGCTGTAGTGCCATCCTGAATAGAAAAGGGAAAATAGAAGTTGATTATTAACATATGTTGGCTGAGGAATAAGTGTCAGTTCAGAACTGGGAGTGCATTATGCTTGTTAGAAACATTTGTGTAAGAAGAACAAATCAACAATATTTCAACCTGGGAGTATTTTAGTTTATTAGGTCATTAATTTATATGAGAGTATCAGCCACATTATGTCTGATTAGGGAATTCATACCCTTCTGATCTCTTAGAGCCACTGGGTCAGGGACAAGGGCATATTTGTAGGATACTGGTGGACTAGGAGGACTTGGAGGAAATTGCTTATCTGTCTTTTATGATTTAAATTATTGTTGAACTGTATTTGCTGTTTTGAACATTTTTTCTACAGTCATCTTGCTCTATATATCTATATATTTGTCCCATGTATCTATTTGCCTGTGTGTGTGTGGGGGGGGTGATGGAGAGAGGAGGAGGGATAGATTGAAATCTGCTAAAAGTCCAAATGCAAAGAATTAAGAAGTTAACATTCAACTTTGGCCATTTTTGGCTCAAGAAGAGATTTCCCAGATTCCGTTGAGAGTTTCCTGCTTTAAGGTACCAATTGCTTGCTGCTTTTGAAGACTTGCTCCTGAGTTCTCCTGCAACCAGGGCCCTACATCTCCCTGATATGTGGGCTTGTCTGCAATGGGAAAAAGGAAAGTAGGATGAGGGGATTTTTCCTTTTCTGGCTTTAGAGATGGTGGGAAGAAAAGAAAAAGAGTGGGAAAAGAGGACAGGATCTTTCCTTCAGATTTCCCATTTTAGGCGTAGATTTGGCATGGGGTGGGGGGCATGGGATGGTAATAGAAAGGCAAAGGGACCAGACACAGAGATCCTGACAGAAAGCAAACAGCCTGCTGTGGGCAGATCCTTGTAACCTCCAACCTGACCTTAGTTAACTGTGTGGCAAAGCCTTGCTGCCTGGGCCCACGAGGCAGAATTAGGAGACACTGGACAAACTACTGTGGACAGTAGGGCAGGGTATAGAAGTGCAGAGTTGGAGGGATGTATGGGGGGATGTGGCTCTGCAGGGAATAGGGATGAGGTTAGCCAGCCAGAGTCACTGCTTGGCTCTAAACCAGAGATCCCAGGCCTGAGGCCAAGTAAAACTCCCCCCATCCTCAGTTGGTCCAGAAGTCCTCTCAGGTAAAAGACAGCACCTTCAACACCTGGGAAGTTTCTGCCACATCGGAATTTGTTTTCCTGCTAAAGAGCAGGTGGAGGTTGGGAGGCTGCCCTGGTGAGTTCTAGACAAAATATAAACCCTGTTTTCTGGGCATGTCTGAGCCCAGTGGGGTGGGTGGCTGGGTGATCGCAGCACCCCTGGCACTCACATTTCGCTCGGCATCGCGGTCAGCTCCACGAAGCAGCATCACCCGTACCACCTCGCTGTGGCCCATCTGGGACGCGATCCACAGGGGTGCCGTTCCATCCTGCAGGGGAGAGGAGGCAGCCATTGTGACTGAGGCCCACCCCACTGGGCCTCTAGAATGTGGGAAACAAGATCCTGAAGCCAGCAGCCTGAGAAGAGATGTCCAGAGGAGAGGAGGCTGCCCATGGTTGCCAAGCTTGGCCTCTGGCAGGGTCTGGCCTGCTTAAGAAGTTGTCCATGTCCACGTTGGGGACTGACAAAAAGCAGAGTCTGCGGCAGACTTGCTGCAAAGCTGTGTGGGAGCGTTGCTCAGGGCAGTGGAGTTGCACATGAGACAGGACAAACTCCACACCTCCAGAAACAAGCTAGCCTGTCAATCCCCAGATATCCCGGTGGGTGGAGTTAAGATAACAGGACACACCTACCTAGAATAAACCCAGCATGTCTTTGGGCCAGGGGGCAGTTTCCTTTGAGGTGGGGTTAGGGGGAGGTGGATCAAACTCAAGACATGACTCTTCTATGCTGATGTCCATAGCCTCCTCCCTCCCCACCCCCCTGGCCACGTCAAGTTTTAAGGAAGTTAGGTTTATGTTAGCTTCTTCTAGGAGATGATGTACCCTAACTAGTTAGGCAGGATAGCATTTATTGTATATCATTCCCTAATACCCCCTTTTTGTTAATTGTAGGCTATGAAGCTGGGATGATTGTTCCAGAAGGACAAGGCAAAATGCCCAAGGGATAGAGAAGGATTTGACAGTAGGGTCATACCTACCAGAAAGAATGGAAAAATGGGAAATCTTGCTAGTGTAGGAAGGAGAATCAAAGGATAGTGCAAGGTGGGGAAGAGAGAAGAAAGCCAGGGTGGGAGGAATACCCAAGTAAATTGTGGGGATTCCAGACAGGGAAGTTTTCTCCTTGGGACTGAGTTCATGAAAAATCACAAGTCCCCTAGAGTGGCTGTTCTAGCTAGTGTCTGAAAGAATAGAAATGGTTTGCAGGGTTCCAGTGGCCAATGCCTGTAATCCTAGCTACTCACGAGGCTAAGACCTGTGAGGATCGTGGTTCAAAGCTAGTGTGGCAGGAAAGTCCATGAGACTCTTATCTCCAATTAACCACCAGAAAACCAGAAGTGGTGCTTTGGCTCAAGTGGTAGAGTGATTGCCTTGAGCTGAAGAGCTGAGGGACAGTGCCCAGGCCCAGCATTCAAGCTTCATGACCAACACACATGCACACACACACACACACACACACACACAAAAGAATAGAAATACTGGCAGTAAACATGAGAACATGAAACATCCTCCAACCACTATGGCCCACATCCACTCAGCATCTGGCTAACCAGGTGTGTCTGTATGAACCCAGAAGTGCTGGAGAAACTGACCAGGAGTGAACCAAAGCCACAGAGGCAGTCTTCATGAGTAGAGATGAAGGCAGAGCCAGTGTCTATGATGGGACCAGCTGGCTCTCTAGGTACCAGGGCAGGATGTTTGGGGAGCAGGGAGGACAACGTTACATCTTCCTAACTCCCACCCAATGCCAGAGTGACTGCCTGAGTGCTGAGAGCTTAGGTCACTTTGGAAAGAAGGGCAGGAGGATGAAACAAGATCTGGAATCACCTAAACTTAATCCCTGAGGTCATTACTGTAACATAGCCCCAAGAGTCTGCTTTAGACAGATAAGACTGATTTACCTACCTACTGGCTGAAGGGCAAGCCGATGCAGTTACAGAATATAAAGTTACATCTGCTGTAGAGTGTAATTTCAGACCCAGCCTATTAGCCAAAGTACAAGATTATTTTCCATTGTCCTGGCTAAGTGACAGAGGACAGGGACATTTGAGTGGAATGGTAGAACATGGCAAACTCATGGAAGTTCAGAAGGCTCTGGGAATGGATGCCGTGATATGGTCTGAGTCTGTAGGCACCTCGGTCTTGGGAGACGTAGGGCAAGAGTTGTTGAAACAACTTCCTCCAACCTTTTCCTGGGGCTTTTTTGGAAATAGTCTTGAATCTAATATTTAATTAAAAAATTATCCTCTGTTCTAAAAGCACAAACTAAGATTATTTTATCTTTCACAAAGCACTTCCATGTTCTTTAATTTGGCTCTCCCAGTTTAGGATATCATCATACATTCATTCATTCAACCAGTCAACCATTATTAAGCAGTAGCTTCTAATCTCAGGCAGAATGCTAAAAGAGATGTCCCAGGTCTAGAAAGAACTTAGCCTACCGAAGAGACATTTCTGTATGACTGCTGTACTGTGTTAAGAGTAGTGATGAAACTGTGGGCAGGACCTTTAGGTTTTGTCATGTGGCAGAGAGAGGAAGGCACTTCTCTTTCCATACCTGCTCTGGGTCCATTTTGTTCTTTGCAAATATCTCCACCAGAGGGCAGGCAGGGAAGGGAGCTGGGCTTCCTTCCAGATATGCAATTCAAGGGCTTGCTTGTTTTTTTTAATAAAATTGCATGTGGAAAAGTGCACAGATGATCATCCTGGGAACAACTGTTGCTATTGTCAATTTGTAATAGTTATGGCAACTGCAACAGACATGTTGAGGAAAAACTAGTTACCTGGCTATGAAACCTTAGGGAAATGCTTGTCATTTTCAGTGTCCACTAATGGAGAAAATGAGCCTTATAGAGGAAACAGGTATAAAGACAGCAAGCATCAGGGTTGGCTCACAGACACTTAGAAAATGTCCACTGAATTTGAATTTTTATTTTGGTTCACAGATTATTCTTTCTCTGTCTGTATGTTTCTCTTTTTCTCTCTCCCCTTTCCCCATTTATTTTTGTGGTGCTAGGGATCAAACCCAGGGCCTTGCTCTCTAACACTGAACTACATTCTTATTTTCACTGGATGTTTGCTTCAAACAACAACAAAAAACCCCCATTAAATCCTTTGAGGCAAATATTAAATATGTAAAATACAAAGAAATCTAAAACAATTTGCCTTTTATATTAAAATCTCTGCACTTGTAATTTATGTATCCAATTCATACACTTTTCAGGCTATTTAAACTTCAATAATCCTACCATAATCCTAAATAGAAAGAATAACAATAAGGGCCAAAGAATATAATAGCAATAAAATACATAAATCACTATGAAGTGACAGTTACAATCTCCACGGCACTTTTTTTTTTTTTAAAAAAAAAGGGAAACATTTGGACAGGTGCAGGTGGCTCACACCTTTGATCCTAGCTACTCAGTTGGCTGAGATTTGAGGATTGCTGTTCAAAGCCCCTGAGACTCTTATCTCTAATTAACTACCACAAAGCCAGAAGTGGAGCTGTGGCTAGAGTGTTAGCCTTGAGAAAAAGTTGCTCAGGGATAGTGCACAAGCCCTTTGTGTGCACAGGCCCTGTGTGTCTGTCTATACAGACACACACATGGAAACATATCTCAAGGTTTAAGGCAGCTGTTACTATTTGTGTGTATACCAAGCGGAAAAGGGTAGACCAAATGATAGATGAAAGACACATGGAGACTCAGGGTCAATAATGAGGCTGGCTAAAGACAAACTAAGCTGAACAGCTTAGTTTGAGCATGCCTGGGCATGCTCAACAGTGGCTGGCTGATGATTACAGGAAGGACTCAAGTACTAGATTAAATAGAGTCTTTTATAGACAGGGTCATGCTTTGTAGCCCAGGCCTCAAACTTTCTATCCTTTGCCTTAGCCTCCCATGAGGGTTGGATCATAAGAATACCCATCTTTAGTAGCTTTGGCTTTCGTAGATCCTTCCAAATCTATTATTATGTACTTGAATGTATTTTATAGATATGAACATGTAGATCTAATGTATATTATACATAGATCACAACATGAGACCTAGATACTGTCCCTGGGCTCTTTTGTTCAAGGCTGGTGTTCTACAACTTAAGCCACAGCTCCACTTCCAGCTTTTTAATGATTAATTGGAGATAAGAGACTCAGACTTTCTTGCTTGGGATGTCTTCAAACTATGATCCTCAGTCTCAGCCTCATAAGTAGCTAGGATTACAGGCATGGGCCACCAGTGTCTAGTTTGTACATTTGTTTCTGAGACAAACAGGATTGTTTGTTCCAAAGCAACCTGGAACTCACTGTGTAGCCTAGGCTAGCCTCAAACTTGCAATTCTCCTGCGTAAGCCTTCCAAGTGTCAGGATTATAGGTGTACACACCATGCCTGGCTAGAAACTAATCTTAAATGGTTTATGAGAAAAAAAGAATAAAAATCAATCTCTGAATAGGAGCAAGGATATGAATGGCAGGAGCTCTTTGTACTGTCTTCCAGTCCTTATGTATAGACTACTTCCACCTGCAGGCTCAGGCCAGGCAGGCTCTTGGGAACCAATTCTTTTTTCTTTTATTGGCTTATATCAGCTAAACAGGAGGAGATTTCATTGTTACATATCTACACATATTCATACTGTATTCTAATCAATGTTGCCTCTTCTATCACACTTCTGTCCTCTTTCCCTTGGGGACCAACTCTATTCTAAGATAGAAGTGAGGCAAGGAAACTTGCCAGTGGCAGATGGCATCTGATATCAAGGCAATTTTGACGCTAGCTCTACATGACCAAAAGTACTGCACTAAGGAGACTGGAGGTGTGGCTCAAGTGGTAGAGTGCCAGCCTTGCAAGTGAGAGGCCTCGAGTTCAAGTTCAAAGCCTAGTTTATCCCCCCCCCCAAAGTTTCTGAGGGATTATTTTATATGCTTCTCATAGTAATCCTCTGGCAGAGATAGCATGATTGTCCTGGTTTTACAGATGAGAAGAGAAACTGAAGTTCAGGGGAAGTAAACAACTTGCTCAAGGTCATGTAGCTAATAAACCAAGCTAAACTGTGTTCATCTCCTTAATACATCCATATTCCCATCTCTTCCTTCCCAGCTCCTTAGTTGCCCTTTACAGTCTTCCTGGGGCTTCTGTTCTGCCCAGGAACCTAGGCCCCACACTTAAGAGTTTCCTAATTTTCAGTCATGGATCATTCAGGACCACAGGCTTCCAGCCCTCCTTAGTGCCCTGCCCTGTGTGTGTTCTGACAGTAAATTCAGCTTATGTGAGTGCCTGCCTTGTACAGAGAGACTGCCTGTTCAAGCCTTCCTGTGGTTGCTCCTGCCAATCTGTAGGCTCCCCACCCCCACCCCACCTCTGCATTCATCCCTCCAACCCTATGACCTAGAATAACATTTACTTGCCAGGCCCCAGCAACAATGTGTGCAACTCCCATTACAGGCTTCTAGAAGAGAAGGTGCTCTATTAGATAACCTTTCTATTGGAATGTAAAGAAATACTGATTAGCACCTGAACAAGACTGCATGGAAATGAGTGATGCCAGGCTAACTCAGGCAAATAAAGTCCAACCTTCGCCACTATAGAAAATGTTGTAAAGCAAGTAAGTTGAATTTGGAAACAGCGTATGTTGGTAGAAAAACTGTTGATAGAAAAACTAAGTATCAGGGAGGTAGAGATAGGGAGGATTGCAGTTCAAGGTTAGCCCTGGCAAAAAGTTAGTGAGACACCCATTTAAAAAAATAAGCCAGGAGTGGTGGTGCCTACCCGTGTTACCGGCTATGCAGGGAGGAGAATTACAGTCCTGAAAGGCCTAGGCAAAAACTCAAGTCCCTATCTGAAAACTAACTTCAAGTACAAAGGGCTGGAGATATGGCTCAAGTGACAGACTGTCTATGTAGCAAGATCAAGTCCTTGAGTTCAAACCCTAGCACTATAAAAAGAAAGGAAGAAAGAGGAAAGAAAACTTGACTGAATAGACATCTTAGGGATTAGAGCTTTGAGTAACATCCACTCTACTTGGTGAAGATACAAGAAAATAAAATAGGCTTTTGGAATGACTCTGAAGTTCAGTGATTCTGACTGTTGACCTATTTGCCAGACAATGTGGAAAGGAGAAGCCAATGTCTGACTGTGCCTGGCTTTGTGATTGTGATTCCTCAGTATAGATATCAAAAATATCTCCACTAAGTTCTCAGTGACAGAGTTACAAAGAAAAGGCACTGTACTGCAGCTCAGATCAAATATCAGCTGAGTGGTTCCTTTCTTCCTTCCTTCCCTCCTTCCTTTTCTCCCTTCCTTCATTTCTCCATTCCTTCCTTCCTTCCCTCCTTTCTTTCTTTCTTTCGTACTTGGGTTTGAACTCAGGCTGGAGCTTGCTCTACCTCTTGAGTCATGCCTCCAGCCCCAGCTGAGTAATTTCACTGCAACTTTATTAATACCCTGCCATCAAATGTCAGAATTTCACAGAAGGTCATTGCAATAATTATAAATCAGATTTATAAATAATTAGGAACCTATGCTTGTCCTTATTTATAATCTTACGAAGTTTTTGGGAATGACCCATTATGTCCACTGAGATTACAAAATAAAACAGTAGCTTCCAGCTGCACTTCCTATAACACATTCTATCATGTGCAGGCCATTTTAATAGAAAATTTTCATTATACTTCTTTTTTAACTTCCTTAGAACTTGTAACCAAGTTATCCAGGGCTGGTATCACCTTGGTCATATTTGTGACATCATTTGTTTTCTTAAGCAGAGTGAAGTCAGCAGGGGTATACTTTCAGAGAAGGGGGAAGGTGAATCTGTCTGCCCTGTTAGATAAAAGCCTCTAGTTATAGACTCACAGAAAGGCAGTAAAAATGATTATGATTTGGGAGCACAATGGGTGAGTGTACTGTACAAAATGGAATGTTTTATTGCTAGTCTTTCTTTCTTTCTTTTTGGTGTCTGTCCTAGGGCTTGAACTCAGGGCTTGGGCGCAGTCCCTGAGTTTCTTCTGCTCAAGGCTAGCATTGTATCATTTGACCCACAGCTCTACTTTAGGTTTTTTTGGTAGTTCAGTAGTACCAGGGCTGGCTTTGAACTATAATCCTCAGAGCTCCAGAGTAGCTAGGATTATAGATGTGAGCCACTGGTGCCCAGCTGCTTTTTGTCTTCCAAAGCAATTCCAATTTTATGAAACACATGTTTCCTGAATGACAGCCTTTTCTAAGCTGGACTCTCAGTTTGAATATATCATAAGGTAGTTGCCTGTGCCTTTGGAAGGGTGTATCACCTGCCCCTTTAACCTGGGTTGGGCTCTGACACTCACAGGCCAGGTCATCTACTCTGACTGGGTTATCCTCCTCCGTGTGGAAGAAGGAAAACAGCCAAGGTGTGTTATGGTTACCACTGCAGTGTTGCTCTACTCTTTACCTTGTTGGCTTTAACGTCAACACATGACTCAGTTTAGACTCAAGTGTATATAACCCATGCACTATTTGAAATACTGTCTCATATCAAATTGGGTGATTTTATTTTTTTACAAACAGAGCTTTAGGCAGGTGAATACTAAATCTATTTTACAACCTGATTTGTCAAAAAGTGCCAGAAGTTATGTTGGAAGCATGTACTGACAGAGACTTGATAATCTTAACCATTTCCTGTCTAGATTCACAGAGGTACCTTTGATAATGGCTTCCAAAACAAACGTAGGCAATTTAATACTCATCCATTTCTTTAATTTGGTAAATACAAGTCTCTGATTCAGAAGCAATCACCAGTTTCAAAATAATAAGAACTGACAAGGAAATATTAAACTCTAACTCTCAAATATCAGCTTAGGCAGGCTGGACAGTGTAACTCTCTCTAAACTACTCTTTTTCCCGAAAGAGTTTCTGAGGCCCTCTAGAACTAATAAGATCTTTAAAATCCTAAAAATAAAGTCTGACATTAGTAGCAGCACCTGGCACTATGTGGGAAATACTAACTGAAAGTTTAATAAAACAAATGCTAAAACTCTGGGAGCTTGAAGAGACTATCAGGCTCATTTTTCCCAGCCTCTTGATTTTGAGATGAAAGTCCAGAGAAGTTGATTAGCTTGTCAAAACCACATGGCTAGTTACTGGCAGAGTTGATTTTAAAATTGTGGATTCTTGACTCAAACCTGCCCTACCCAAAGGTTCAGCAGGGCTTTCGCTTCTGAGAACCCAAGAAGCCTATGGCCTGCAGCTCAGACCAACATGAAGGCCCTGTTCCTGTGAATTCTATACATATCCCAGCATTCCCTTACCAGTCAATTACAGTGGAAGCCTGCTTGATGGTAATTACTAGAAAGAAATGAGCTTGACTTTTCCCTTAAAACAACACCAACTACCTTTGTCATTTGTGGTAGCTAGAATGTGCCTATCTGTGGGTGGTAGGCAAGCAGTTATAAATGAATTAATGGCTCTATGGAGAGTGCAAATAGTGTAATTATTTTTTTTTTGGGTCGGTCATGGTACCTGTAATCTGGGCCTGGGCGCTGTCCCTGAGCTCTTCAGCTCAAGGCGAGTGCCCTACCACTTGAGCCACAGCACTACTTCCAACTTTTTTCTGCTTATGTGGTGCTGAGGAATCGAACCCTTGGCCTCATGCATGCAAGGCAAGCACTTTTACCACTGAGCCACCTTCCTAGCCCAGCAAATAGTTTAATTTTTTAGAAAGATTAAGTCAAAGCCCAACAAAATAAGTATCAGGATATAGGTACTTGCAAGAGGAGTGGGGGGCAAGGAAAGAGGAGTAGAAGAATGAAGGGGGAAAGGAGTAGAATGCAGGCAGGAAGGTATATACCACAGAATTGAGAAAAGTAAGGGAAGGGGTGCATTGACAGAGGGTGAAGATGCTAAAGGGATGACACAGATCAAGATGCATTGTATAAACTTGTTGTTGTTGTTGGTCGTGGGGCTTGAACTCTGGGCCTGGGTGTTATCCCTGAGCTCTTCAGCTCAAGGTGAGTGCTCTACCACTTGAGCCACAGCACCACTTCCAGTTTTCTAGTGGTTTATTAGAGATAAGAGTCTCATGGACTTTCTTGCCCAGGCTGGCTTTGAACCATGATCCTTAGATCTCAGCTTCCTGAGTAGTGAGGATTATAGGCTACTGGTGTCCAGCTTAAACTGCTTTGTTAAATGGCAAAAACCCCTCAATAAACAATCTAAAAACTAAGAAAAGCGAGGGAAGGAAAGGGTGGGTGAGAATGTTGAAAGGGGTGACATCAATCAAGGGGCACTACAGTCACAAATTGCTTTGTTGAAGGGCAACTTCTTTGTATAACTACTTAAAGATAGTAAAAATATTTAAAAAAAAACTTTACCTTTGTAAAAGTGGTTCCTAATCTGAAATGTTTTGTTAAAGACTAATTAAAGATTAATTAATTAAAGACTGGGCACAACTAGGTCATATAGAATAGCTAATTATGCTCCCTTCTGTTGGGTGGGTTCTTTACCATTTATAAGGTGCTGCCAGTGTTATTTTGCATTTCTGTGTTGTTAAGTGAATTACCAGATATTGGTAAATGAAGTCTCCATAGCCTATAATTTGTAAGAAAAGAAGGGGGTGGGCAAGCCTACTCATGACTCTTTAGGCAGGTGTGAGCTCCTCTTGGGCTTAGCAAGAAAGGTAGGTAAGGAGATAACATAGCATATCAGCAGAGGGACCACACAAAGGCATTGCCTCTATTTACCTCTGCACAGGCCAGCCAACACTCTACTTCAGTGCAGCCATGATTTATTTGAACAGGAGGTGGCAGAATGTGTACTTGACCTCAGACACTAAACACTCCAGTTTTGAAAGCTTTGAATGGTGATGTCAGCTTGTTTTGATAGGCCGTTAGGCAAGTCATAAGCATAGAATAGTTGAAATCGAAATCAAAGATTAACTTTTTTATTACAGGGCAAAAGGATTTAAAGAATGCCTAGAGCTACCAGTTATCTCAGGTATGTGCTGCTCGGGGACACCTGGCCCTCCCTGCCTTGTACATACACACTGTGGCGAGCTTCCCTCATGGACATTACCTGCCTTGGCTGGTTGACTTTTGCTCCTGAAGACAACAATAATCGAATAACATCCAAGTAACCACCTTGGGCGGCTAAGAAGAGGGCAGTGGCTCCATCCTGAGAGATAACAGATTAAAAAGTGTTCAAAAAAAGAATCAAGTTTCGTATTTAGTTAAAAGAAATTAAGAGCTCCAAATACATGCATTTATACAATTTTCCTTTTCTAAGCTTTTGTCAGTTATGAGGTTAAATTGACAAATATTCAGACCTATTTCATGTATTTTTATGAGTGGGGGGGCCTTTCAAATTCATTTCTAATTTGCTCTTTCTGCTCTCTTATCCATGTCCCCACTCCCTCAACATGCAGTTTCTTGAAGTATTAAAAGACACAATGGGCTGGGTATAGCTTAGTGCTGGAGTGCTTGCCTAACTATAGGAGCAAAACCCTAGGATTGGTTGATTCCCAGAACTGTTTTCAGAAAACCTGCCTTAGAAAGAATCTCTACAAAGTTGCTTCCTGACAGTTCAATAGACACTAATAATAGCTATAAATATAAAAGTCAGTCCTGTCCATGGTCTAAATGAGTGCTCCAATTTTCTTGCTAATCCTGGGGCTTAAACTTGTGGCCTCGGTGCTATCTCTGAGCTTCTTTTGCTCAGGGCTAGAGCTCTACTACTTGAGCCGCCACTCTACTCCTGGCTTTTTTTGTTAGTTAATTGGAGATAAGAGTCTCACAGACTTTCCTGCCCTCAGATCTCAGCTTCCTAAATAGCTAGGGTTATGGGCATGAGCCACCAATGCTGGCTTGGGTTTTCAACCGAGTGTCTATGATTTCTGTTTTGTTGTTGTTGTTGTTGTTCTTGGAACCATATTGTCAGAGCTGGGAAAGTGGCTCAGTGGTAGAGTGTTTGCCTTGCACGCATGTGGCCCTGGGTTCAATTCCTCAGCAGAAAAAGCCAGAAGTGGTGCTGTGGCTCAAATGATAGAGTGCTAGCCTTGAGCTGAAGAGCTGAGGGACAGTGCTCAGGCCCAGAGTTCAGGCCCCACGACAGACCAAAAAAAAAGAATTATATTGTCAGATTATTTCAGTAAATGGGTTGGCTGAGCATATGTATTTTCCTGGGTGCCTGCTTCACACACAGACACAGAGAAGCTCAGGTTTCACTGTTTCTTAACAGAGCTCCTCCTAGTAGAAAACACCCAGACAACACAGTTCATTACCACTCCTCCAGGTGGGAATGCTCACCACAAGCTAACACACACCAGCTTTCCTTCAAGTCTAACCAGATGTGTCACAGGTGAGGTACTGGATTTCCAGTGATGTCAGCTGTGCTGCCAGATGGGCCTTAAGGCAATAATAAAAAAAAAATTAAACAACCTGTACAGATTTTTAAGCAGATATTTGTGAAGAGAATAGATTGGGCCTGTTCTGGGTTACTCTATATCATATAAAGAACAGCTTTAAGGGCTTGGTCTAGCCTTGACTTATTCTTTTTAGAAAACCATAGTTTTGACCTAAGCTACTCCATTTTGAATGGGAGTGCCAAAACAGAATTACCCTACATCTTGTTTACAGCAAATAAAATGTTACCAGCAGTAAACTTATCAAATTAGATAAAAAAAATCTGGATGAGTGGGCATTTCAACCTATATCAAGATAACCACTCCCCTGAAGTCTTAAGCACACCAGACCCAGGATAGATAACACTCCTTCAGCTGAATCATACTTAGAAATAGGACAGGGAGGGACAGGCTCACCTGCCATCTGACTATCTGGGGTGTGTGGCAAGGATTAATAGGTGAAGAATCCCTAACTCTGTCCCTATCACTTCAATTCCGCTGGACTCCCCTGCTTGATGTGACCCGCTCAAATTGTGGATGCAGTAAGCCATATCAATTCTGTACCTGAAAAACAGCTCTGCATTTAGAATCAGCAAGGCAGCCAGGAGGAACTCTGTATTTTGTCACCATCAGGCCTCAATCGCTGTCTTACCTAACCACCTGCAGTAACTCTCTTCTGTCTCCACTTTCAGCTCTAGCTTTGAACCTTGTGGTTGATGCTTTAACCCTTTCTGTAACCTCTAAATTATTGTGAAGTGTGATATGTGATCTAACAGTCAATATTAGCAATTGAGTTTGAAGAAAAGAACTTTTGTTGTCCATGGCCTCAACTATCAGTGATACTTGGTAAATTAACACCAAGGAAATTGACATACCTCATGAATTTGTTATTCAATAAATTCTGCCATTGTGGAAAGACACAGTATTCCCATCTATATTTCTGACATAGCTTGTTCTTGACAATTTGATACTGAGATAAAATATTCAGCTGCTTCTTAATGCATTGTCATTAAAGTGTACCATGCCCTCCACAGTTGCTAACTTGGGAATTTTCTGAACTGGACAGTATACTGGTTTTTCATTATGCACCACAAGTTTCAGTTCTAGAAGTTTTCAGGAATCCTTGATCTCTGTCCCTGTCCCCATATTCTAATTGTTCATTTTTTATTTAGTTACTTTTTAAAGTTAGTTTTCTTCAGCTGTTTTTTTTTTGGGGGGGGGGAAGGGGTAGGTTGTGGTGCTTGAACCCTGGGCCTAGGTGCTATTCCTGAGCAATTCAGCTCAAGGCTAGCACTCCACCACTTGAGTCACAGCACCACTTCCGGTTTTCTGGTGGTTAATTGGAGATAAGAGTCTCACAGACTTTCCTGCCTGGGCTGGTTTTGAACTGTGATCCTCAGATCTCAGTCTCCTGAGTAGCTAGGATTACAGGTGTGAGCCACCAGTGCCCAACTCTTCAGCTGTTTTTAATGGGAGCATTTGGACTATCTGGGTGAAGGTAAGTGTGGAAGTTATGGTGCATGAAATTTCCTGACTAACATTATTAACAAAGAAAAATGTACTAGGAGCAAGGTTCCCCACAAATTCAGTTCTAAGATTTTGTGCCACCCCAAGAATGTTCTGTCAGAATATTATCTGTACACTAATTCTACATCTACACTCAAACTGGATTGATGATTATGAGTGGTCAAGCTCTGAAAAATCACCATCCACTTTCCCTTTTCAAAGCCTTTGGCTACATAAACTAGGATACACCCTTAGCTACACTTCACTGATATACACATAGAAAAGTCTATAGCCAAAGCTTTAGATTTACATTTCTTAGACATGGCCATATGTCAGAACCACCTGTTGCTTCAGTTGTGACTCCAGAGACTGGCTTGGTTGTCCTGGAATCAGTTCTAGAAATGAGTATTTCTAAAAGCTCCCCAGGACTGTAATGGGCATCCAGGGTTGAGAAACACTTCTTTAGATCATTATCAAGTAATCCAAACATTCCAACAGTAATGCTGCAGGTTCAGAAAGTGTTACAGATGTTGAAGAAAGCACCAGAGGGTAAGGCTACTTGCTGTAGACTTCAAAGTGGCCTGTGATTTGTCAGAGTTAACTAGGTAAACTCTAAAAAGGATATTCAAATGGAGACATTCACACCTACATAGCTCATTACCTGACTATGAAAGTTTAGTGCCTGAGGCATAAGGGTTAAATGCCTACTTGTAGGGTGACCTAAAATAGTTTCCTAGATAATTTGTCTCCTTGAGACTCTGTCAAATCACTTCATATCCCATATTTTGTTTTTTTTTCCCTACAAAATCAGAACAACACTTGCCATAAATCCTATAGAATTACCATGACAAGAGTCCTTACATAATGTGCTAATTGCCAATTAGCTGGAAATAGACCTGGGCTAGCAGCAGATGGCCGTCAAAGATCAATGGAGCATGTTCTTTTCATGGGTCTTCATCCATCTACCTTGCTTATCTTTCAAATATATTGGGTTCTTCTCTTCATGCCCTTCCATACAAATACAACAGGACAGTATATTTTGCTTTTTGACAAGTCCATATGCCATGCGGCATGAGTACATATGCATGATATGTTTGAAGATGTTAATTGAGCAGGTAGCTGGAGTGTGACAGAATAAGCTCAACAGATCAGCTATTCTTTTTTCCTTTTAGTGTCTAAGATTAGAGTCCCACTGTTCATTATGATATTTTTTGAAGCTGGCTTATCTGACATCTGAATTTAGACTGCAGTGTGATAACGTGATAAAGGAAGGAGCAGGTATCCACTGGACATCCCTTAGCAAGCACTCACATAAAGTTGGTCATGGATGTTGGCTCCGTGCTTCAGTAATGTCTCCACCACCTGCCTGTGCCCATACTGACTGGCAGCCAACAGGGCAGTGCCTCCATCCTATGCACATGAATATATAAACACATTAGAGACAGCTCAAGCAGAAGCTCCTCATACAGAACATTGGAAGAAACTCGCTTTCCTTTTTTCCCCTTTTCCTTTTATAATGATTGTAGGGGAGCATATAAAAATTCACACCTATGCATCCTAAAGGTGATTAAAGGTCATAAGTTAGGGGCCCAGGCTTACAGAAAAAGGGTTATGTAATACCAGCCTAACATGCCCCAGGACTTGGCACCAAGCCTCTTTTGTTCTCCTGCTATGTAAGACAGGAAACTGGTCCCCAGAAAAAAAAAAGTGAGGAGGGAAAGCACGTATGTGGACAGCGGGACAGATCGACATATGTGCAGAGAAGGAGGTACACATGTGGACACATGGGGAAACAGGCACCCAGACACCGAGACTCGTGCACTTTACTCTGTTTAGTTTATTCCTACAATAAATTATTCTTCTTTAATTGCCTTTGGCTGGCCGAGTCTTTTTGCCGAAACTGTAATGTTGGACTGAAAAATGGCAGCAGTGCCAACATTAGCCAGCCACCGACCCCAACAATTTTGATAGGATTCACCTTAACGATGAGAAATGATGTTGTAAACTTGGATGACTTATTCAGAGATAAAGTTATTTCACCAAGTTATTGTGATTTAGAAGTTTCTCATGCCAAATGCAGAATCATCTATTCAGGAATCATAGGATAGAAAGTCTGTACCATTTTTGTCAGTTCTGCCTTAGAAATACCAGAAGAACCTCTCAAGGCTTCTGGCTAGAGACTCCCTTAACAAACATGAACTTCTCTCTATAGTGTACCTGGTTAGAAGCCACTGAGTCTAAGGTGCTTTGATGGGGTGGCCCTCTGGGGCTATTGCTTTCAGGAGACAACCTCTGCCTCCATTAGAAGAGCACATGATAGTATATTTCATGTGTCTCTCACGTTCCTGCTTAGTGTTTGCCTTTGAACATATGCCAATTTTCCCAGGTCTCTTTTAAAGTTTGGGGCCTAAACTCAGCATTGCACTGTAAAGCAGGTGTTTCATCCACTCAACTTTTATCTCTATAGCTTAAATTAGAATTAGTTCTTATGGCAACCACATCACACTACTGACTCATTGAGTTTGTGGTCAATGAAAACCATTAATGGCTTTCCTCAGGTGGTACTGGTAAGACATTATCTTTTCCCATCTAGGATTGTTGAGTTGTTTGGCTCTGTGGACACTTAAGTTAATAATAAATAATTTGAGAACATGCAATCTGGTTCAAAAATGCGAATCATTAATATGGCTGTGTGGCTTCTAAATTTGGACATAGGGTTTTTGCTAGAAGAGAGTTCTGATCTAGTAGGCCTAAGGTGAAGTTCTGTCATGTGGAATGACTGATAGGCAGATGGCAGGTAGCCTCACCTGTAGAAACTGTGCTATAAGAGCTCCTATGATCATGCACAGGCAATATCCCGGGAGATGAGAGATGGGCTGTGTGGTGGGAAAGGGTGCTTAAAGGGAAAGAAACCAAAAGGAGACAGGAGGAAGGCTGAGGTTGTTGAAGATGGTGATGGGAACATTGAGAAATTGCTTAATACCACCAATGAGCTGCGCTGTTTTCAAGCTCTGTCCCTTGAATGTCCCCCTATCTTTGCATCATGAGAGAGAGAAAAAAGAGAGAGAGGGAGAGGGAGAGAGAGAGAGGGAGAGGGAGAGAGAAAAGAGAGGGAGAGAGAGAAGAGAGGGAGAGGGAGAGAGAGA